TAAAATAATATTTATTAGTTTGATTTAATCTATTTATTTTTGTTATTTTCATCTTGTAATATTAACTTTTGATATAATATATTATATATTATGTCAAACTTATTATTTATTAGTGCTTTTAGAATATTAATAAAAACTGTAATTTGTAATTTAGATATCCAAAAAACCGATCCAAATTAAACTGCATTTAATTGGATTGAATCATATCATATTCTTTCAATCAATCATCCAAAACCGAACCAAATCCTAAGTAAATTTCTCTTTGGATCAGATGATATTTTACTTCAAAACCGAACCACGAACACCCCTATCAACATGGTCTCCCTAACCGGCCATCTCATAAGCATGAGCATTAACCCCTAAAAAGTGGTTGAGAAAACTAAAGCAATAAAGGAGAATAAGTGGCGTTGATTCCTCCTACTTATATTTTTCTTTATTATTCACATTATATGATATGTCTATATAATCAACTTCCTCGTATGTAGAGTTAATTCTCAAATATAAATTATATATTGCAAGCTCTAAAATATTCTTTTTCTTTGTGATTATGTAAGTTTACAACGGGTATGAGGTATAACCTAAGGGATTAAGGCCCCAACACAACAAACACACAAAACAATTCAGGGGTGCTATCGCAAACGACACTCGCATGTGACTGCAACTGTAACACCCATATATAATACATGTCTAGAATATACATATTATACATAGTTGCAAAGTTGGTACTAAAATACAGAAGTTCCTAGCGACAATATTGTACATATTACATGCCCAAAATAGTACTATAACAACGACACAATACATACAAGGGTGCCCAAAATATAATACTAAGAACTTGATCATGGTGAGATGATCTCCAAAATAACTGCACAACAGATACACCATCTCAAAATGACAAAAGAAGCTAGGACATCATGCTACTTTGTCCTTACCCTTCTCCTGATCAGAACCACCTGAAAATAACCAACAATATCGGGTGAGATAATAAACTTAGTGGGTTCCCTATCTTAAGGGTCCACTGGGATTTACAAGGTTCTAATCAAACCTAACTTGAGTCATAAGGGTGAAAGGGACTCAAGTTCATAAGACTCACATTGTATGGAGACATGCCTCATGAGTTCATCAACTTAAACAATCACTAATTGGAAACCATACCAAGACATCTTTCTCCGACCAACCCTACGTCTAGAGTTCTTTTATGGGACTTTAGCCCATTTGGTTGCATTATGGGACTCTAACCATTTGGTTGATCATATGGGTCTCTAACCCATTTGGTTAAACATATGAGACTCTAACCCATTTGGCTGATGCGAAGCATCGGTGCATTCATCCCAATCTTACTCTATATAAGTACCTTGACTTAGAACGACACAATCAATGGTTGTTTCCAACTACGTGATTAAATAAGGGACATTGTGATTGTATTCGACAACCACAAGACGATCACATCACCTTAGTATTCACAACAACATCACATGTTCCATACAATGTCTAACATCTTAGCTAGACAATGCTTGCTCATGACACGCACCTAGGTATCCTATGCATAAGCATTTCCATATATATCATTCATCACATCCTAATTATCTTGCTAATTTATTCCATTAATTACTCTTAAGTTTTCCTCACCAATCTTGTAAATTTCCAATCTTATTATCAATTAATCACAAACAATAATTCTTAGATGGAAGACATGCATAATACCTACAAACCATAGTAACTAACATAAGGAAACTCATATCAAGGCTAAAATATGCATGTGAAACACTCCAAACAAGAGACAAAACAATTTCCCCAAAACCTTTCATGGTCGCTTGATGAGCAGCAAACGAGGCTGGCTCGCTTTTGGTTCGCCCGACGAGCACCAGTTAAGGCCCAAACAGAGGAAAAATTGCATCATGGTCTCTCGACGAGCAACCAGTGAGGTAGCTCGCTTTCTGTTAGCCAAAGCTCGCCCAACGACGCTGACAGAAATAAGCTCGCCCAAATAGAGCGTCAAATTTTGTAGAAATTCAACAGGGGTTGAAGGTAAAGAAAGGGGTTCTTCACTAACACCCATACATGATTCATCCATAAGAATAATACCAACACACAACCACAACCATAATCACACGAACAACAAAAGAATCATAATAATCCTTATGGTAATGGAAGAAAACATATCAACAACTCAATATCATTGATTCTCTCTCAAAACCTACAATCCCTAATTTCTACAACTTAAGGTTTCTACCTAGAATCCACCTTGGAAATGAGTTGAAGAAGTTGTTGAATGATGAAGATGAAGTGATGTAGATGATGGATGATGAGCTTCTAATTTTCTTCTTCTCCCACTAGGTATCCTTTTTTCTCTCTATTCTTCCTCTTCCAACCTTTCCTATTTTGTTGGAATGATAAATGATACATAGAAGTATCATATAGTAAAGTTAGTAAGAATATATGGCATGTTTGGTAAAAAAGTGGTTACCTAACTTGTGGTAGAAAATGAAATAATTAGTAGTAACATAAATATTAAGTGGTACAAAACTTAATATTTGTTCTCATGTCATAGAGCAGTTAACTCATTATTAATGTTATCAAAATGTCTCTATTGTACCAATTAATAAAAGGTCAGTCTTGAATAATATTAACTATGTCAATCCAAGCTCACTAGTTACTCTAATTATCTCAACTAATAACTTTCGGAGCATCTAGGAATTCACTTGATCTCAACTGACATGATTTAGAGTATTTAAGGTTAACACGGGGTATTACAACAACAATCAATTTCCCACAATGCAAAGCACACATACAAAGAAATTCAGGGGTGCTGTCGTAAATGCCACGCGCGTGCGACTACATCAATCGATTCCCCAGTGGCAATAATAGTCCATCCCTTTTTGGCAGCTAGCCAGTTCAGAGGTCGTGGTGGATTGACCATACGTCGACCTTAAACCAAGTTTTAACCTGGGTAGAGGAAGGAGAATTGACCTTTGGGCGAGAATGACCCCAAAGTTGTCTAATAAACTTCAAGGAAAAACCTCGTAAGTTTGCACAGAATCCAAAGCCACATACTCAAGATCACGCAACTATACCTCAAACAGGTAAAATATTTAATTATAAATATACACATATGAATTGACTTATTTCTAAAAATAGCCAAATGGGGAAGTTTGTTATTACATATAGATTGACTTATTTTTATCGACAAAATATTAAGAAAGAAGTCACATAAGTTGTTGAGACCATCTTAGTTGTGTTATCTACTGGTGTGTTATTTTTGGAAATATTTTGTTCGGTTCTGAATTCTGCGCGATATTTTAGGAACAAATCATATATAGATCGTATGTTATTTTGTTCCAAAATCTGCAATATTTATTTTAAGAATATTTATTTTGTTCTAGAATCTGCACGAATTATTTTGAAAAGATTTATTTTCTAATTATTTTACAAAATATTTTTGGAAAGATATACTTTCCAAATTATGTGCGATCTTCCTGAGGAACAAATAATATTATCTTTTGTTCTAAACTTTGCGTGATCTTATTGGGATTGGATCAGTTGTAGATTTGTTTTAAAATTCTGGATTATGCATGATCTTATTGGGATTGGATTGGATATGCTATCGATTTGGGTGTGAAAATCTGATGGGCCTTTTTGCCAAGTTGCCTCTATATAAAAAGAGAAAAGATACGCTCGTCACATGTAATTTGAGTAAATATTTTGTTGATTAACAATGCGTGTCTTATGCATGTTCAACTTTGCCGTATGTTATTTTCGACCATTCTTTTAGAGACAAAGTTGTGGTTTTCTTTCATTAAGTTTATCACGTTCTTATTGACGACGAATTACAAAGACTTTATTAAGTTTATCACGTTCTTATAGACGAGGAATTACAAACACTTGGGAGAATGTTTGAGCGAAACTGAAGAGATCTCAAATTCAAGGGAGTATGAGTTGAAATTCACGGATAGAATTATGAAAATGGCCTTGACCTAGGGATAATTCATATAAGAGCGTTGTGTACTATTGACTAATTATAAGTGAATTTTTTTTTCACTGACTACTTCCCCTAGACGCAAGGGAGAATTGCATTGAATGGAGCTAATAATTTCTTGAATCTTTTATTTGTTATTTGGTTTAATCACTCATCTACTATTTCAGATTATCTTATATCACACATTAATTTAAAATTGTGTGTAACATCTTACGTCTGATCAAACATAATTTCAATTAAAAATCTTGGTTGATAAAATATCATGTTTTAGATAAAGAAAGTGTCTCAAATAATTTATGATAAACGAGTGTTATTAGACATTCTCCAATAAATTGATGAAGTTTCTCACAACTGAAAATTTATAATATTATTTTATATTTATGACATGTATAATAATTAAATTAAATTCGATTTATGTCATTTATACAAAAAAAAAAAATTATTACACTAATATTGATCAGGTCTTGAGACATGGTAAGTCATGGAACTGACTAAACTATACATATCTTTATTTTTAAATCAAATAACATTTTTTCAAAACCGATTTAAACACAAATACTACCATACATTATGGACACCTAGAAAATAAAAGTGTATTAAACATATAAGCAAATCTATACAAACAAATAAAAAAACTGTAAAATTTACTTTTAAAAAGAAAACAGTACCTATACATACCAGTATACGTATCAAAATACAATGTCACAGTATCAAGATTTGTGTCCACAACAAATTTGCCATATACATAAATCTTGTCCTATAAGCCTACTACATTGGACATTTTGTTACCATAGTAATTTGTTTGCACCAAAGGTAGAGTTTTGAGGCTAATAGAGCCTACTACCCTATACAAGAATCTGATTGATGCCATGCCATACCCAACTTACTCTGAATAACTTCTCATCACTGACACATTCAGCTACCTATGTAACTATGTCTCTTCTCTCCCTATCTCAAACTCAATGATAAATGAGGAAACTTTGAATTGAAAACGTGGCGCAGAAACTAGAACAACAAGGAGAGAATGGGTCAAGGTCTTAGTTGCAGAGGGAGTCATGAACATGGACTCTTTCGCGCTGTCCAACATGGTCATCTTCAAACTGTTGTTGCTTTGTTGCAGACACATCCTTCTCTTATTCATCGTACTACTGTTTATGACCACCATTCCCCTCTTCATATTGCTGCTGCTAATGGTCAGATCCAGGTTCGTTTTTTTTTGTTTTACCAATTGGGTTTGTCTCAAAGATTGTTTTTTTGTTTTCAAATTTTTGTGGGTGGTGGCAATTTGCAGGTTTTATCTAGGCTTTTGGATGGATCTGCAAATCCAGATGTGTTAAATCGACAAAAGCAGGTTGGTTTTTGGAATGTGATTTGATTTTGAGTTTGGTTTTGATGGTATTAATTGATGAATTGAATGTGAGTGAAAAGGGGAATCTTTTTGTGTTTGTTTTTAGTTTTTACTTATTTTTAATTGCTTTTTTAAATGGTTCAGACCCCGCTTATGTTGGCAGCGATGCATGGAAAAATTGATTGTGTGGAAAAGCTACTTGAAGCTGGTGCTAATGTATGTTAGTGTTAGATTTCCCTCCATGTTTCATTTCAATTTCATGACTTTTTAAAAAAAAAAGGAAAAAGCTATTTTATTGAAATAAGTGATTGTGAAAAATTATCAGGTTTTAATGTTTGATGTGTGTCATGGAAGAACCTGTTTGCACTATGCTGCTTACTATGGTCATTCTTCTTGTCTTAAAGCAATACTTTCTGCTGCTCAAACTAGTCCTGTCGCTGCTTCTTGGTTAGTTCTTTCTGTTTTGGGATTGATTTTGATTATGATTGATTTCTTTGAAATGCTATACTGAAATAAGAGTTCAATTGATTGTTGTAGGGGGTTTTCGCGGTTTGTGAATATTAGAGACGGTAGGGGTGCTACACCGTTGCATTTAGCGGCTCGTCAAAGACGGTCTGAATGTGTGCATACTTTGTTGTGTAGTGGAGCTCTTGTTTCTGCTTCAACTAGCAGATATGGGTAATGATCTACGGAATGGAAGCGGTGATGATGAACGACAAGCTTAGATTTGATGTAATGATATTATGTTTCCGTGTTTGCAGATGTCCCGGGAGCACTCCTCTTCATCTAGCAGCAAAAGGAGGATCTTTGGATTGCATCCGCGAACTATTAGCATGGGGTGCAGATCGTCTTCAACGCGATGCATCTGGGTATATTTCATTTTCGTCGAAGTTTTTGCAGCTTGTTTCTGTTTGCTGTTTCTCAATTTAGAAAAAAATTCTTAAAACATGTGTGTGGTGTTTATGCAGGCGTATACCGTATGTGGTTGCTTTGAAGCACAAACACGGAGCATGTGCAGCATTGCTAAATCTTTCATCTGCACAGCCTCTTGTCTGGCCGTCGGCATTGAAAATTATCAGCGAGCTTAATCCGGAGGCTAAAACTTTATTAGAGCAGGCCTTGATGGACGCAAACAGAGAAAGGGAAAAAAACATATTGAAAGGAAGTCCTTACTCTCTTCCGTCTCCATCACACCCTGATCAGATTGACGACAACATCTCCGAGGTAATTTGACATCAATTCGAGTTGGTACCAAAATTTTCAGCTTACTACATTGATATACACTTATCGCGGGATCTGATGTAATTTTCAGGTTAGCGAGACGGAACAATGTTGCATCTGCTTTGAGCAAGTGTGTACAATTGAAGTCCAAGACTGTGGCCACCAAATGTGTGCACAATGCACACTAACCCTCTGTTGTCACAACAAGCCGAATACATCGGCTTCTCAACCAACCCCACCCGTTTGTCCATTCTGTCGAAGTGCCATATCCAAACTCACAGTTATCAAGATAGAAACTCACGAAGACATCGATCAAGACGGTACACCTGATACCACTTATTTCAAGCCAAGCAAGTCACGAAAATATCGAAACATGAACGAAGGCTGCAGCAGCAGTTTCAAGGGAATGTCCAATGTAAACTCTTACGGAAAAATGAACGGCCGTAGTTCCGGTATGATTGCTTCCGAAAACGAGTGGGTTGATGATAAGCCACAATGATGCTTGCTGCTACTGCTGGAGTATATCATATATGAATCATGACATGTTGTAAATTGTAATGTCAATGATGGTATAAGAAAGAGCATAAAGAAAATGTAATATCTATTATTTGCTTATGAATGTAACAAGAAAATGAGCAATAAAAAATGGTTGTATTATTGGATTCATGTGATTATGTCTACATCGATGTAATAATTTCTGCACTACCTACCTGTACTGAAGGAAACTTACGATTAATATAACAGAATCAGGACAAGTTTATGTGTCAGTGTCACTCAATGGGGCCTCACTATGTTACGGATAACTAGTTGACAAATCAGCATTAGTATCATTGTTACAAAATCTATGAATAATGACTAGTGACTGTATTTAAAGTCTTGTGTCTCTTCTAATAATTTCATGAGGAAAATGACACATTATTATGGGCACTTGTATGTAGGATCCATAGAGTATTGGACATCAATATCTCTAAAAAAAAATGTCATTGTCGTGATGAAAATCAACATTGATAAAATTTTATTTTTTAGATTCATTCAATAATAACTAATGTATATGATATATATTTTGTTTAGATACATTGTTTATTTAATTAATGTAAAAATAATTTTTTTTTTTATAAATAAGATTAGATGGAGTATTATATTAAACTATAATGTATATACTCTCCATTTTAAAATAGTTATCGTTAAGTTTTTTTGCATACAGAATATAATAATATTGTTATAAGATATTGCACTTTTACTAAATTAATTTTATTAATATTTTAAAATTAGTGTACGTATAATTTTTTGTTATTTTAAAATGAATGAAATATTAAGTTGTAAAGTACATGTGACACTGACATTTCTAAAAAAAAGTATCAATATAAGTGTTCAAATTGACATTTATATTTATAATTATATTTAATTTATTTATTGTTTTCAAATTACTATTATTGACGTCAATTTATTAATTTCTGTGTCATATTTTTGGTTTAGGTCCTTCTTACATCATAGGGCAGTGACATGAACTTAATTAGTAGCTTATCATTGCTAAAAGAAATTACTTCTCTTATCTAAATTAAGTTTCACGCTCTATATTTTTTCACTAAAAAAATGTAATAAATAAGAGAGAAAATCGATACTTTCTCAAAAATTTAAAAATGTAATGAATAAAATAGAAAAAAAAAAGTAATTTTACCAAATTATTGTTATATGTTATTGTGAATTCTAATTATTACTGATACAAAGTGAAAGAATAATAAATATTAAATATTAATAGAAGAATTGAAAAATAAAAATAAAAATGAAATTAAAACTAGAAATGACATTTATTTTGGAAATAAATATATATTTTTAATATAATATTTATATTGGGATGAATAAAGAGGGAGTAGTAAAATATCATTTATATTTATATTATTAATTTTTTTATGAAAATATTATTTTAGAACAAATAAGCATAATGTACTTGAGTGTTGAATTGTATTTAATGCATTGCACATTGGTTTTGTATGGTACTAGTGTCAATTTATTTTCCCTTTTTGTTACAGACTTTTTCTTTAAAAAATGTAATTTAAACAAAAAAATGTACATTAATACTGCTTACTCTGATCTAGATATCAGCGCTGTCTTTTAAATTGTACAAAAGAATATTTCAAAAATAATATTTTTAGAAAAGAATATTTTAAAAAAATATTAAAGAATGGGTCCTAATTCATGAGCACATGGACCATGGGCACATTAAAAAAACAATGTTAATTAAATAATAAAAAAAATTGGTAGCTTTTCCATTTGGATCCAAAACAAAGTGGTTTTGGATTGAAATGAATCAGAATGGGAACGTGCAAGGTACAATAAATAATTCAAGTTATCTGCATGATCTACTTTTATTTTCATTTTCAAGAGTAAGGACATAAAAAATCTCAAGATATGTGAATGTATGTGACTGAGAATAGTTTTGTTCCTAAATGTGAGTTCTTGGGAGTTCCACCTGGTAATAACAGCTGTAATGACTTTAATCACACAGTCGGAATTATAAAGAATTAATAAATGACAAATTTAGAACGAAACACAAATTTACAAATGACAAATTTGTCAAATAAAAAATTTAATTTTACTATGATAAAAGATGTTTTGACGACTGTATCCCAAAATGTTTAAATACTGAAAAAAAACAATAATTAATTAATATGTCAGAGTTTTTATTCAAAAAGACATAGTAATAGTTATTTTAACATCAAACTCAAATTTACACAGATTATACTTCTTTCATTTCAGAATGAGTCATTGATCATTTTATACGTAATAATTAAAAAGAGAATAAAATTTACTAAAATACCTCTTATCATGTGTTTGGAGTGATGAAAATGGTAATAATTAAAGAGTACAATTGAAAAAAAAGAATTAATTTAGATCATAAATTGAAATGGTTCATTTATTTTAAAAATATTTTATTATTTCAAATGAGTTACTCATTATGAGACATAGGAAATACTTCATTGGTTTCAAAATGACTGTCATTTAAGGTTTTTGTACACATATTAAAAAAAGTAATAATATTGCTGTAAGATAATGCACTTTTACTAAATTAATCTTATTAATTTGTTAAAAATAATGTACATAGTAATAATTATAGGATAATGCTAACTTGTGTCCCAAGGGCACAAGTTAAGAGATAAATATAGTAAAAATTTATTGGAAATTGTCTATTAAAATTAATACAAGATTACAATTAATGAATTTATTGTTTTTTCGATACAAATTTTTTATTTATAGGTTTTTTAACATGTGTCATTGAGCCACAAGTTAACATTATCCATAATTATATAATACAATTGAAAAAATAATAATTATTACTATATTGAAAAGTGATAATGACATTTATTTTAAAATAATTTTTTTCTCGAAAACGATAATTATTTTAAAACAGAGAAAGTATCAAATTTTTTCGACACACAACTATTAGCTCTCAATCATAACAGTTTTGGTTTTTGTCAATTGTATTAAAATTTGTAAATATTTTTTCCTATAATTTAATGACTTGTCACGTTTTACAATAATACAATTATAATTAAAAAATATAAACATCACAACATTCTTAATTAGGATTGATAACACACTAAAGTAGTAGTTGATATTATTGTTGCAATTGAGAATTCTTTAAATAAAAAAGCAAAATAATAAATATTAAATTCTTTAAAATGTTACATAGTTTTATATTAAATAGGATAAGATTTGAATATATCCTTATAGAGTAATGACAATCATCACTTTATAAATCAATTTTTATAAAGATGAGTTATGTATAATTTTAATTTTAACATAATAAGTAAATTTGGTTTAGGATTCAAAAAGAGTAAGAGAGTTTCACTTTAAAATAAGGTATGAACGCATGTGTGAGAGATACCTTAGTCATTAAAAGTTTGGTTAAGAATTAGCTAGGGGCTAGGGCAACCTTGTGCCTGAATTGAAAAACGTATCATGAAACAAGTCAAACAAATTGTTGCTTTCCTGTGTCCAAGTGTTTTCTTTCTTGAACCAATGGATCAAGAGAGGTAATGGTGTGGCCATGAATTAGATTCAGTAATGGTTTATGTTAATATGGAAATTCATTGGGGCAGTAAATAAAATGCAATTGGTTCTTTCTATATTTTTCGATTGTAGCTCTTTTTTTGAGCAGGGGATTGACCAAAGGATGAAAATGTTGTACTTCGCACCAAAGTTTAATTTTAAGGAAAGAGTGAAGAATGCCATAAGAATATTATTTAAAAGGGTAATGCTAACTTGTGTCTCAAAGACACAAGTTAAGTAACCTAAAAAAAATATTATTTTAATTAAATCCTACTAATTATAATATGCAAAATAAAATAGGGTTTTAAACATAATTTATGGCAAATCAATTCTTTCTTTAAATCATATTTATGCCCATTTAAAAGTACTATATTTATAAAATTACACAATTCCTCGAGCTTGTGAAACTAAGACACCACCTAGTCTTAATTGCGTACAAACATAATTTTCAATCACTATAATTCACATTCAAAACTCCTACCTTCTAGGAGCTCAGACTATCTTGAATCATAGACGATGAATTTTCCTAATCTTAGTTGAACTTCTTCCAAAGCATGTACGATCTTGAAGAGAAAACTCACTAAATCAATCCATTAGAGTAAAAATGTTAATCCAATATTTTCTTGATCATAACTCAATTGCAACTCCAATTGATACTAATAAAACACTCTTTCACTTACAAATAACTTATTAGCAAAGTACACTATTTCAATACCTCAGAGGGATGAAGAGAAAGAGAAAAATTGAGTTTAATGATCCGATTGTTCAATTTAAAATAATGAGAAAAATGATATTTATATGCAAGGGAAAGCTATAAGAAAATGCATTAAAAAATATATTTTAATATGATTGGAATAATTTAAATACATTTATTGGGATTCAAATCATGCAATCTTGAAATTTAAAAAAATATTTTAACAAGGAAAACAACATTGAGTGCTACTCGAATATATGCTCAACACAACATTGAGTGCTACTCGAATATATGCTCAACACAATGCAATAAGTGTGATCGCTTCCATAGTCAATGTTCTCAATCTTTTGAGGAAGACTCCGCTCCCTCCTACGGTTGAAGACGATTCTATCCTGGTGACTTCTCTTCCTACTCCTCTGTTGCAAGATCCATATCATCCAACAATCGGCTAAGGCACATTCAAAGTCCTTCCGATTTTCTAGTATTTTAAGCAACCACTCCGAGGCAAAACTTTGACGCAACCTCCATCGAAACCAATAATTTTCAAAAAATAAATGCTTCAAAGCCTCCAATAGTTGCAGGACAATCTATGTATACGTGGTGCTAACAATCTATTAACAATATTTATAACCTAGTGTAATAATAGAACTCTCACTCTTTGGCCAAAAGAATACTCAGAACAAATAAAATTTGTAGTATACTCTTCCTTAGGACCATTCCATGCCCAAGGAGGTCTTACACGACGATCAAGAAGT